GAACAATTCAGCATATCTGAATCGATGAGTGACGGAAAGGAATATCGTGGGGAGGAATAAGTAATATTAATTCAAATAATTGAGAATAATTAATATTTTCGTTCTTATTTACACAAATCGGTTTTGAATTAAATTTCATTTCATAATGTTTTATGCATCTATTTGAATGAAAATTAAAATCATAATCTACGACGATTGACAGATATCAATATCTTCGTTTCGTATATTATCGAATTGCGTAAAATTTGGTAACTGTTTAGACTCATCCCAATTTTATGATACCTGAATCCTACACCGTTGTAAAAATTTTTTGTAGATCTCGAAGGCCTTTACCTAATCGGATAGAGGCACGTAGCCGAGAGTTAATAAACGTAAAAGACCGATTGTCGATTATTCACGGGATATAAATATATCGGTGAAATTTATCGGAGGGATTAATCATCTCGAATCCGTGGGTGCAACTTAATAAATTTCTTTGAAATTATCATTGCGCAACTGATAAATAACAGTTTCGAGTAACGTGCTACGTTGTAAAAAAAAAAAAAAAAAAAAAAAAAGAAAAAGAAAGAAATTCACGATTTTCACGCTATTGTAACGTGGTAATTGGTATTGATTTGTCGATCGGCTGGACCGAAACGATCCCCCCTTTTATTGCGAATACGGCCTCTGGGCCGGTGCTCGGCGCATTTTATGCCGTAAAAATTTATTACGCCATGAATACTGAATACAAATTATTATTGCTTATTAGCAACGCTTTGCATAATGGAGAACGGTGTAATTTATAAATTGTATTGCACCGGGGGTTTTTTAAATGAACGAAGCAGCCAGCGGAACTTTCGTTATAATTAATCAATAGTTCCTGTCGAGGAGGAGGAGGAGGAGGAGGAGGAGGAGGAGGAGGAGAAGTATTTGTCGATAAGGGTTTCTAGTTTTTTATTTTTGGTTTTTTAAATATTAATACTATTCTATATTATATAATAATTTATACTATATTATATAATATATTATATGATAATTTCTTAATTATTAATATTTTTTAATACGTGTAAACAATTATTTAGGAAAATTTCAATTTTAATATTTTTCCATCTTGATAACAATTATCATATTCGTGTTTTTCAATAATATTACATACAATTGTTATTGTTAATTAATTTTAATATACATTTTATACATTGGACTATTTATTTTTCCATCTTGATAACAATTATCATATTTTTCAATAATATTACATACAATTGTTAAAGCAGATTAATTTTAATTTTAATTTAATTAATGAAATTAATTAATTATTTTCTGCATTGGATTATCTATAATATTTCTCAATAATATTTTTCAATAATATTGGATACAATTGTTTATATACAATTGTTATTGTTAAAGTAGATTCATTTTAATATTTTATACATTGGACTATCTATTTTTCCATCTTGATAACAATTATCATATTCGTGTTTTTAAATAATATTACATACAATTGTTATTGCTAATATTAAAATGATTCAAACGCAATCTATATCACGTTACTATCCTAAAATATATTGTCAAGAATTCTATGATTTATGTATAAATATACGACATGCCTGATTATTTAATTTCACTAAATTATAGAACAGCACACGAAAAAAAGAGCATCGACAATCAATTCCTCATTGTATTCAATAGAGAGACATAATCAAAGCGATCTTGATTCTTGAGGCAAATTCAACTTTGATCACCATCTTCAGCAGTCGTTACTACGTGCAAAGCGTTATCGATCACGCTTATCAACCAAATTCAACTGCTAATAGAAGTTAGGTGTGGACCGACCTTTAATGAACAGAGATAAGCAAAATTTTAACGGTTAAAAGTTAAAAAGAATAATGTTTTAATGAAATAATGAATACTTCAATAAATTACTTGAATAATTTATTATTTAAGCATCGAATAAATAAATAGCGATGACCGAGTTATAAACAAAGATTTTGTTTAAAAAAAAGAAAAATGACATATCTTTATGAAACATCAATAAAAAGAAATCTTTATTCTTTATTTTTAAAATTACTTTCTTTTTCACCTTCACTGTTTAATTACCTATTCACAAAAAAAATCTTGAACATCATTTTTTTCACTGAAATGTTTACTTTTCATTTAATTTCAAAAACAGGAAAATCTCTAGATCAAGTCTGAACTGTATAATGAATTTTAGAGAGATTTTTCATTGATTTTTCACGAATATGGATTACAAAAACTAGGGCAGTGAAGATATATTATATATATCATAGATAATGAATTATATGTAAATAAATAAATAATATATTTTTAAAAATAAAGAAAAGAAATATTTCTTTTTGTTTCTTCGTAAAGATATATCTTCTTTTACTTTTCATTTAAACGAGGTCCACTCTCGTCCAGCTATTACGAATAAATATTACTAACTTAAGTAACTTTATACGAAATTTTATCTTAATTAATTTTTTAGCCCATTAGTGGCCAACTCTTTCTTACTTAAACGGAAATGCGGCAGAAACGCGCAAAAGGCGGAAAAGGCGTTTAAGCGTGGCCTGCGATCTCGCGAACTGCGAGCATGGGCGTCGACAAGCGACAGCGGTGCGACCGCCCATCGATACACCTCGTTGGCCGGACAATAATAATTTATATACGCGGATCATGCCGCTAGATTGCACGCACAAGGTAGAGACGGCGTATTGCCAGTCAAGAATAATGACTACTCGGCGACCATTAACTAACCACAATCGAGCTGAACGCCAGTCCGATCGCCAGTTCCGCGCGTTATGCTAATCCCACCTTTGCTCCTTTGGCCTGCCTGCCTTTCGTGTCTGCCTTCCTGTCTTCTTTCTGTGTCGATCGAACGATAGGCGAGTCAATAGCTGTGGAAAGTTATATCCGGATATGTTTAAACATTTGTCGCTTTTTCAACTTTTATTTTTGCGCAGTGAAAATTAGGAAACAATTAGGATACTTACTTTTATTGTTGCGTGAAAATATTGGTAGATTTTACGATAATAGTGTTGATTACAATTTAAAGTGAGTTTTAAATCATGATAAATTTATAGATATTTTTATCCGAGTATAAAGATATCTGAAAAAATAAGAATTATTCAAAAAAGTATATTTAAGTATAAAAATATAGGAATATTAAAACTTGCCTAGATATTTTTGATTGATAAAAAATCATATTCAGATTTTGTGAATATAAAGGAAGTTTCAAATTTAAAATATTTGTTTCAATTAGTATTTCATTTTAACGTTAAGTTAAAATAATTTTTTTTTTTTTTTTTTTGGAATTTCATTTGTGCAAAATGTTGAAGTAATTTCATTCTTTATGGTGCTTAGTCATTTTTCATTATATTTATCTTGGGTTTCGAAACGAGGATATTACAGGAGCTTATTTCGAAATATCGACAATCGATCGATTCCTTCTATATATTTTCCGCACAAGTTTTAGCAGATGAAACTTGTTACCGATGGCATATACGAGTATAACAATGATTGAGGTTGTCCCTTGATATCGACTCACATAGCTCTCGAAACAAAAGCATCCTCTCTCTCCTGGGACATCGTGTAATATATTTCGAAGGAATCATATACTTCGATCCATAATATTAATAGAACTGGCAAAATTGAATTTCCTGGTTCGGATAAGAAACAATAAATGTATCAAAGTTGAGACTTCTTAATATATTATTACAGATTTTGATTTCACGAAATATTGTTTATAAAGATAAAAAGATTTGTTAAAATTATCATTTATAAGTAGTATTTCCTTTCACCAAATAAAATGTTGCAAATGTTTAAATCTATAATTTAAAGATATCGATCTAAATTCTAGAAAAATAACATCTATACTCACAGTTTTTTTTTTTGTAGCTCTGCAAAATGATCAACAATCCAGTGCCATTCCTGGAAGAATAAATATTCCTCTACAATAGATATTCCTGGAAAAAACAGATAAAATTTTTAAAGATTTTTGTTTCATTTTCTGAAAATGAAAAATAATATTAATATAAAAATAAACATTGAATAGTTAAATTTTTAATCGAATAATGTTAAACTATAAGATCGTTTTCACATAGGCGGCCAATAACCTATAATTTTGCCAAATAAATAAAAAACTACTAGTAAATGTCATAATTATAAAATTAATCGCGTGACTAGCTTCGATCGATCACTTTGTCATCCGAGTCGTCGTCGTTTTTCCCATCCGGCAAAAAATATTTTTCCAATGTGAATTCCGATCATTCACGGCAAGAACGGAGAAGTCGGCGAGCTAGTTTTCCTCGAGGATCTGATTCCTCGAAACGGGGAGCCACGGAATGAAGAGAAGGTAGAGAAGCCGCCGCTCGCTGCCTTAGATTCTCGCGTGTTCACGGCAATTAGAGGAAGGTGTGACAGATACGAAGAGGTTTTGCCGTGAAACGAGCAGGGAGGAAGGTGGAGAGCGTAACGCATGGCCAGCCATAAATTATCGGCCGATGGTAGGAATTAATCGGATCCTAGGAATGGAAGACGAGGGGAGGGGGGCCGTGAGCGCGCATTCATCGTTACGAGAGGAGCGGCTCGGTACGTGGCATCCAAGCCGCCACGACCAATTAAACGAACAAAGACGTCTAAATGGGACCGCTAGATCGTCATAGAAATATATTTACTTGTGATTGGATGCATTCAGTTCCCGAACGGCCATAAGCCGGACACGAAATAACGAACGGCCGCAAGATCGCTCGATCGATAATGTCCTCATCCATTTCCATTCACCGGTTCGAGTAACACCTCAGCCACGATGAAATTACTTAATTTGCGCTCGGCCTGCCAACTGGCTCCCCCTGTCGCGTCCTCGGGATTCTGATCGTTTGTTATCGAGAAGGGCTCGAGTAATCTACGGTTATTTTAGATCGTCTTTACCATCGCCGCGTGTGTGCGTAGTTAACTCGTTGAAACTATCGTTGAACTATCTCTTCGTTCTATCTATGTTATTAAAAGCGAACTTACGAATCTGACGTTCTGATCAAGGATTGCTTAACGATGTATGTGCACAGTAGATAAAATTATTTCGAAGAAGATGAGGTTAGATAAATTGAACATCCTTCAAGGATAAGTAAGATATACGTTGCGATAAACCTAGATCAATATTGGATTAATTTTAATTAAGTTTCGATATACACAAATAAATGTGTATGTGAATTCATATTTGTTTAATTTTAGACGTGACGTAATACGAACCTAACCTAAATCTAATCCGTCGTAAACTATTCCAAACATCGCTGAAACATAAAAAATATTAGTTATATTTATAGAAAGAAATTATTTATAATGATAATCTTGATAAGATATTTCAAAAATACCAAAATCAACGAAATGATTCTTATTCCAAACAATTATCGATGTAGTAATTCGTTGTCGCAGTTATCCACATCGATATCGATAGTCCATTCCATTTTCTTCGATTGGAAAGATTCTGGTTCTAAAACCTTGTAAACTATGTAGACATTTATAGCCTGTAAAATTCCGATAGAGGATTCAATTTAAGACACGGAGAGCGTAACAATAAGACTCGATTAACTTGGCGCGAGAGGCGAAGACATCGGGAGGTCGAAACGGAGCAATCGATTCTCTCGATAAGAGGTACCGCAACCATGTTTCAGTTCGAGATAAATCCGGATTAGCACGACGAGGTAGTCGCGACGAGGAAGAGACGCGTTGAATCTTAAGGGGATAAGGTTTCGGTAAATATAACGCTTTGCCTGTTAACCGGTTCCACTCGTAAATTGCCGAGAGGATAGTGAATTTATACGGTTCACAATTTATGTTGATCCAACCGGGTACAGCGTTCCGCGGACGTCAAATCGAAAAGTATCGAGTTTACAAATAAATTTAACGTCGTCCAACATCCAACGAAAACGCTTCAAGGGATTTCGCGGTAAATCTCATCGTTTGAAAACTCAAACATCGTATCAAACTACTAAACGTGTTGAAAATAACATTAAAACTTTCTCTATTCAACTTCGAAGAACGTTCCAAGACTTTATGAACGGTTAAAGAAATGGGTTAGAAAATTAAATTTTCTTTCAAGTAACCTCATCTGTCATAAAACTAACCTTATCTGTCACTTCATCGTCTGGCTTTGTACTTCGAATTAGAGTTGAAACTACCGATATTGTTATCGATAAATATCGATAATATCATTAAGATATTTAATAACAGGTAAAAATAATTATTTTTACTTTTTTTATTTAAATTTATTATCAAAAATATTAATTATCAATGAACAAAGGATATTTTATTGATTTTTTGATATATTCAAGATATCGTTAAGACATCAATGTGATACAAACATGAATAAAAATGGCTTAAATGAATTACTATTCAATTAAATATACTTTTTCAATAAAATCTATTTTTATTGCAACTTATTATAGATGACATTTTTTACGTGTCTTATAATAATATATAATGATAAAATCAATCGTTTCTGTCTGTTAATCATATTTATCAATAAGATATCGATAAAATACTAATGATCATAATTCTCGATTTCGAAAATTAGTTGATAATTTGTAGAATTCTTCTGTTATCCTTTTTTGAAACGTTTCTGGAAATTATTAAAGCATCGATGTAAAATTCTAATGTACAATGAATATAATAATAACAACAAAGAAAAGACACCACCTATTTTTATAATCTAAATTTACGTACGGAAATGAGAATTTTTTATCACAACGAGGGACACGAGTAATAAAAATTTAACGAAATTCAACGAATAGACGTGTTTACACGCCTCAAGAATCGCGTCGCCCATCCATCTCGAATAGTTTTTTTCTTTTCGAATCTGTCGGAATCGTTTTCTCCAAGTCGAGTCGAAAAGCCGGCCGGCTCGATCGGTAACGAAGCTGGATCTCTCATATCGGGAATAAAGAGTGCCGATCGAAAAGAAAGGGAGAAAAATCGGGGCGGATCGTTAACCGGAGCCGACGACAATGTTCGTGGCGTGGTTGAAACCACCATGGCAACAAATCACTCCTTATATAGCCGATCGGCGTTTCTGCGCGCCTAAGATGAAAAGAAACGGTGCAAAAAAAAGGAAGAAAAGGCGGCCGCGTAAAGGTGGAGAAAAAGATGACGATGAAGAAGGGAACGAAGAAGGGAGGGGAGGGGGGAGGGGGGGGGGGGTGCGCGGAGAAGGAGTTGGAAGGATGTGAGGGGGGCGAAGAGGGGCGGCGGAGAGGGGATGGATCGGGCCGTAAGGCCCCATGCGGCGCTGAATCACGCTCGAACCTTTTTCACTTTCAGGTCCTTCAACGGCGCCCTGTTCGAAGGCTTACCTTTGTGAGGCTGGCGCCGTGATTTTTCACGGTCGCCGTCCGGGAATAGTCGAAACACGACCAACGGCTCGTTCCACCCGTATTTAAGGCCCCTCGTCTGGATCGGCTTCCCTATTTCTTCTCGCGACTCGCCCCCTCCTCCCCCGATTCTCCTCGAATCGAATTATTTCCAGACTATTTTTACGCTATCCACGGGTTTAGCTGGCAGCTCCTGTTGGAATCTCGGTTTCGTTTCTCGAGATTCTCGGTATTGGCAGTATCCTCTTGGGATAAGTTGTATAAGCCGTAAGTTAGAACTGCTTTCGGATCGAATTTAGCGACTGGTGAAAATCGAGAGTCTTGGGGAGTTAGGGAAGAAGATGGCGGGTCTACGGGGTGTTAATTTTAAGAAGCCAAAGGGGAAGGGGAAATATATATTGGTGTATAAAAATTTCGAGGCGAAACAGGATATAAAATAGATTAGTTATTTTTAATTCGAATTTCATAAATAAGTGAGTCTCGAAGATCGAAATTTTCGTAATTACGAAAATGCGTATTGTGTTCCACGTATGTTGTTTTTTTTTATTTTAAAACTTCCTATCATAAAAAAAAAAAAAAAACTGAAGTTCTATCATTTTCTTTATATTTTTTAATCTACATTATGAAATATATTTTCAGATACATTACGCAAAAAAAAAGAAATGCAAAATCTAAATCTGTCGTCCTTGGCGATGAGCGGGCAAAAAATTTTTCTTCTTAAATTTCGCCAGAGGAGACCGGCTGTCTGGCGAATTGGGGCAGGCGATAAACGGACGAGGAATTTTTTTAATAAAAGAACGGAAGGACGCGTGAAAAACGAGGCGTGAAAGGATAAAGGAGAGTGGAAAGGCTAACGACTACCTGGGCCGAAATTCGGTTCGAGGTTGTCGAAGTTACGTTTCGTTGTAATGGCCGCGATAAAGGGGAACCAGATAAAAGAGGGCGATAGCGGAAGAGAATCGAAGAGAATGGGGGCGGGCGTAAAATGTGAATTACATCGAAATCGGACGATGGGTGGTTCCGCCAATCAATTGCCACTTGACAGCGGATGGCCAATGCTATCGATGATCGAGGAATGATTAATGACACGGCACAACTATAAACGCTGTAATCTACCATCGAAAACGATTTACATTGTACCGTTGCTTGTTTCGAAGGTGTTACGTTACGATGCGGACCCACCACCGATTCTTTCGAAACGCTCTTCGATCCCAAACTGGGTAATAGGATTGCAACAAATAGAATTCCTTTCGAAATTGTGTGAGACCTTGGGTGTGTTTCTTAATACTTTTTTTGAGTTGCAATTTTTTTTTTTTTTGCGATATTTAAATTATCCGTGATCCTTTGTACGAAGTAAAAATTTAAAAAATTTGACTAGTTGTGGATCTAGTGTTTCTTAATTTCTTTTGAGTTTTCATTCTTTCGTAATAAATTAAATTATGCGATGTTATATGCGAAGAAAGGGAAATTTAAAAAATTTAATAAAAATAAAATAAGTTAATCAATGGGAGGATTACTTTTTGATGATATAATTACACGTATGTATATAAAATGAATATTAATTAATATTGAGAGTCGTTAAGTAAAAATGATAAATTGATAAAAAATCGAAGTGAATAATTAAATAACGTTACGTATATGAAATGACAAAATTTGTTTAAAAATTGTTTTCCGTCAACTTTGTTTAATCGATAATTAAACTTCCTCGAAATTTTCCTCAAAAATTTAAAGTTTAAAACAGTTGTAAAGAAATATATAAAATTTTTTGCTACGGCATATATTGTCTCATTTAAACTTTCGTTATAAAATGGATATTTAAATACATTCGTAATAATCTACATCCCCATGTAGTTATAAGTTGTTCAATTGAGATAGAAGCACAGATTATTATTCAAGTAATTTTCACTTTAATGTGAAAAGTCTTTATAGTTGTAATTTCCGTTAACCACTTTTTATACGTAAATTTTATACGTAAAGGAAATTTATTTTTCGATATCGTGACAAAAGTTAAAACGTAACGTGATTTAACTTTCAACACTTTGTGTTTTATAAATTAAATATTCAGTATTATTAAATTATTGACAAATTTTTAAGCAGATAGAACAGATGTTTATAAATATTCATAGAATAACTTGTATCTTCGTTATTCGGAATATGCAAACGCGAGAATTTCATTATAAAATTATACAACTTATTGTTAATTGGATTTTAACATTGCAAACTTAACACATTCCCTCTATGTACTTCGCGATGAACATTGCTTATTAATTTTCATGAAATTTTTTTCATATTTAACGAAGATGATTATGCATATTAAACAATTTTTTAAGTTTATGCAAATTGAAATTTTCATTAACACAAAAAAAAAATAGAATTTGAATAAAAATCTGCTTTCTTTAAATATCATTTTAATTTAGATTTTTATATCTCCCTGCGTTATTATACATTTAAATTTTTCATAAACGCAATATCATCTCTCAATATCATCACTTTTACTTTTTTTACTCTAAAAAATATAAAAAGTTAAATTTTCGAATAACGAATTTTTATCCATTTTAACTTTTCAATCGTTAAAATTTTGCTCGTCCCTTTTTTCTTTTTATATCATTTTTATAATACAAATATTTCTCTTTGAACGTGTTAAAAAAAAAAAAAAAACAGAAATCAACAATGATTCTCTCAATCATTCGGGAAAGAGTTCCTCTGAAAAAGAGAGTTCCAGAAGCGGAATTTGGATCCTCGCCTCTCGACGAATTCTATCGCGGCGCTGCGTAGAGCGAATACTCGGTCTCCCGGCAAAGACAGAACAAAGACTCGATGTAACACGATAGTGGGTTTCGTGTTTCAGGCGGGCATGCTGCGCGGCGATCACGGCGAGTTCTGGTTGGAACCAGTCGCCCTGTCCCCGGAAGAAGAACGAGTCCGGTTGGAGGAAGAAAGGCTGGAAGACGCCGGCGCCGAGGGCCGTGGTGCCGCGGGCCTGTACCGGAACTCGGTGCTGGGCAGGCCCCATCTCGTGTTCCGCAGGTCCGTGGAGCAGCCGCAGCTCGAAATCGGCGCTGCAGGCCGTGCCAGACGTCGGCGGAAAAAGAAGAAAAAACTCGAGAGAAACTGTGGCACTCGCGGTGAGAATCC